AATGCGTGGGGCGCTATCTTGCGTGGCCCTGCGCTAGCTTGCGTGCCACCCTCGTTCCGCATCAGATCGCTGATTCAGTAGTGCCCCACCCGTTGTCACGCTGGCCCGCGTGCCGGCAGCAAAGTGCACCGGCGCCCAACCAACTTAGCACATCACAGAAGGCGCCATTAACGGCAGCAGCCAAAACTGGCGCCAAAAAATGTGACGGGGCGCCACAGGTCGCTACATCATGCCGCTCCGCCCACGTTGCCAGATTGGTAGGCAAAGCGAACCCGACGCCAGGCTAATGTAGCATATTGCACGACACCACATAAGGTGCCAATTACAGCGCCAACCAATAAGAGCTAATGGTACGTTGCACTGCACTGTGCTGTGCCGCCCCCCGTGTCAGTGAGACCGTGAACGGCAATGTCCGACTACGGCAGCCACAGCCACATGACGAGCGATGGAGAGGAAAGCGGAGAGCCTTGTGGGGAGGGAAGCAAGCAGCATGCTCCAAAGCAGTTGGAGTGAACTTGATGACATTGGGGTGACAGCACATGCACTGAGATGTAAGAATGTGTGAAATTGCTTTTGCATTGTGGTTGTACGTGATGTTGCAGTGAACAGTGGCCCCCAACGCTATCTTGCGTACCAATCGCGCTCAGCACAACCGGCAATATTGATAATGCCGGGGGCGTTATCTAAAGGCCCCCGCGCCAACCAACACCCCCCGCGCTATCTTCCGTGGCTTGTGTTCCCAAACCTGACGAGGGAGGGCACATGTTCTGATGACTTGCATGAGAAATGGGGTTTCATATGACTGCGATGCTACGTTCAGACAAAATGTGACCTAAAGTGCACTTGCGGCACACTGCTCATGCGAATGACACGGTTACCGCTGCGTGGCATACACGGTAGTGAGCACGTGCACTCGGTGAGTCCTCATGCCATGCATGTTTGCTTCCTGCACTCCCACAGGATTGCACGTGCATGAATAAAAGCTAAAGGGTTGAAAGAAAGCCCTGACGTAAAATTAACTATCGTGTTGATGGGTTTCTGCCAAGGGTGACGATGGGTGGGCTGCGCCGGGGGATCAAAGGCGCAGTTTGAACCTGGGGCTTACTCAGCCCCCGTCACGTGAGACTTCTGGCCACCCTAGCACTGTGGGTCAGTCAAAGTACGAAAAATACGAGGTGTCGCTCACCTTGGCGCCCTCGGGTTTGGCGGGCTTTGGCGGGGCTGAGCGGGGGCGGCTCCTTAGGCTCCCCCCTCGGTCCCCCTCCTTATCTTGTTTCGCACCCAGCCCTCCCGCCCTCGAGAGTGGTGTTCGGTTTAGTAGTGGGGTGGACAGGAAATGAGGGAGAGAATTACAGGATTAGAGAGCTGACTCATGGGGTGAGTCACTCGCTGAGTGGCGTTAAGTATTAGCGAAGCGAATGGGCAAACTTTAAGGATGGGAACCCCGGGTATGTTATATTGAATATGTGTGATTTGTAAGTGTTGTCATGGGGGTTACATAACCGGGTGGGCGCAGGAGACCGGTACGGCAGAAATACATGTTGTACCATTTGATGAGGGAGTCATGTCAGAAACTATAAGGGAGTGTGGACACTTATCGACCCGTTTGGCATGCGAATATACCCCACCACTGCCATGAAGTCTTGATTGGAGTATGGCCCAATGTCACCACTGAATAGGAATACATCTGGTTTGGTGTGGCTTACAATGCGTGTCATACATACAAACCTGTACGAAAGAATGCAAGAGCAGGGTGAAAGAAAACAACTTTTCCTGGAGGGTAGAAAAGGAAAAGAAAGGATAGGCTGCGTTGGGAAAAAGGATGAGGCGGCGTGCTGGGATGCATGCAGACAGAAGGCCCCTGCAAATCCGTCAAAAAGAATGTCTTGGGGGCTTGAACACACCAAAACGTTACACAAACTTTGTGGAAAAGCTAAAAATAATCTGTTAAAGTTATGGGGAAGTGTGGCAGTAACGCCACGAGGCATCGCCAGACAGGACTACCTTGCCCTGGAAGAATGGGCACCAGAAACTCATGAGGACCCATTTCTTTTTCATGTATTTCGCGCAGCCGCAATATGTGCTGCAAGACCCGCCGATGAGCACCCCAATTTCATGGATTTTGCCCTGTACATGGGCACTGGAGAGTGTCTCTGTACTTTGGAGCTGGCAGTGAGGGAGGATGCTGGGAAGTGCAGTATAGTATGGTGTCTAATCGTACAGTGCTTTGAGGCGATGACATGACCAATGAATGTGAGATTCGTGTACTGGGCTGCATGGTGGCAGCAAGGAGGAAGTTTGGAGGATTCCTGTGATGACACGTGACGTTGATTGGGATGGTAGGTGAGCTGAAATGTTATTATGAAACGGGGAGAAAGGAATTTGCTAGTTCAATGATGGCATACCACAGGACATTACATGATTTGATGGAAGTGCTCCTCTCGGACTAAATAAACAACACCAAGCTGAGCCCTGGAATGCCCTGCAAATGGCTGTGATTTGTGTCAGGAGTTATGGCACTTTGTGGGAGCATGACAGGAACAACATTGATCATTTCACTCTTTTCCATGATGGGCTGGGCTGTTTTGTTTCAATATGTTGAGAAATAAGTAGTAATCAGGAAGTCAAGATATCATTTGAAGGTGACTGATACACTGAGAAAAATGGTAGGCATTTCTCTGGATTTAGTCTTGATCACGAGGTACTGAAAGTTTGGGAAGGGTTCAGCCATTGAGCTGACGGGAGTTTCGTACATAAGTGTCACGCTTTGTGCGTGCAATATGAGTCTGCATCGAGTAATTTGTGTTTGGCTGCGCCGTGTGTGTGATCGGAAGGGTGCTGCCCCTCTTGAAGGGGCCACACATGACCTTTTTTTCAGCTGCCCTTTCTGTCTCATAAAGGAATCGTGCGCGGCTGCGGGGCCGCCATTCTGCCATTGGTTCATATTTGGGTTTCGGTGGCGCTGTGCTGGCTGCCGCTCTGCGCCATGTGAGGCGAACGGCAGTGTCGTGGGGAAGCTTGTTGGGTGGCAGCCATTCTGAGCGAACGCCAGCAGCTGTGCTTGCACAGCCGCCCAGTAAACTCAGAACCCAAATTTCCGGCTTGAATCGCGTCCCCTGACCCTGGCATGGCACCTCGCGGCATGAGCAGCATCCTCCTGCGCCTGGGGTGTTTTTTGCCGCTTGCTCTGATGGAAACCAAAGCGGCGGCTGCGCGGCTGGCCGAACAGCCCACGCGGCTTCCTGGAAAGGCCACCGTCGCCAAAGCGCATTGGAAAAGCCCTGCGTGAACTGCGACAGGCTCGGCGCATAGCCGCATACGGTTCTATGCCGTAGAGGCACACGATGCTGTGAATCACGGCCGCGTGGCACGCTAGAACGCACCAAAGGGGCGTGCAGCTGCGTGAAGCGGCGCGCTGCCCGGCGATCGCGCCGTAATGGCGCTGTGCGGGCATGTAAGCATTTTAAAGGGCGTGCGCGCTGAGCGATCGTGGTAGTACACGATCCATGTCGAATCGGGGCAGGATGCTTGGCTCTTGAGCATCGAATCGCTGCATACGTTCGACGGCAGCGTGCGGCTGTTTCATTTTCGTAAAATGGGCAGCTCGAGCGAACAGAAGGCCTATTACGTTTTATAAAACAAACTAAAGTGAATCTCTTGGCGCCCACCCCACCCCGCCCCGCCCCACGCGTTGTCAACCCTTCAAAAACCCCAAAGCGTCCCCTCCTCCACATGCCACCATGATACGGTTGTTCCCCTCTGTGCTACATTGCTGTCCAATGCAAGATGGGCTGAATGCCATACCATTTATTCCTTCTGTGGCAACCTCATCCAAGCACCTCAGCATCCAACTGGCGGTTTGAACCAATCCACAGTCACTCAGGGTTGGCAACGGGCGACAGTCGTCTTCGATGCAGACACCCGCACCCAGGGCGCTGTGCGCTGTTCTCCATGTTGCACCATTCAATTACATGGTTAAAAAGATGTCTGTGTGACAAAATTTCAGTATCTACAGCCCCAGAGTACACACCTGTGAAGCCAGAATACCGGCAATACCTTGATCCTGTCATTTTCCCAGCTTGCTATTCCTAGCTCGCCCAGCCCGCCCAGCCACACTGCCCTGTTCGTCCTGCGACCCGCCCCCCATTCACCCTCACCCAGCTCGGTCGTTGCTCCACGCAAGTCGCACTGGAATCGTACAAGTCAACGCACCGGCAAGACATGTGTCTAACCTGGCACCAGCATCTGCACCCCCCTGTGCATGCTCTTGACCATGATGGCCGGCTTCACAGCATGTCACCACCCACCACCAACGCCAACAATCTGGCTATCCTGGAGGCCGCACACAAGTGACAGATGCATATGCATAATGCACGCGATTCTCCCAACGGCAGACTTCGCGTCGAATGAAATGCACACCCTCCCTCCCACCCACCTCCCCTTACCCTGTTCGTTGTTCATTGTGTCAATACATCTATCTGGTTTAGCGTCAAATTCAGTGGATTGAATGGAATACCTGAGCTCTTGTGCGTGCATATCCACAACTCTCTTCCATTCGCATGCAATTCATTCACAGGCTCCCTTCATTTGGTGCCAGCGCATTCCGCCCAATCGATGCACCCCGCCCCCACTGTCAGGCCAGCCATTGTCATCTCAAGCAGCTGCCGCCGTTTTCCGTCCTACTAACGATATGTCCCGCTATATGTCCAGATCTGATTCCGATCTGTAGTGTTGTTGTTGCTTGGCAACCAACCAATTTCAATGCCATCCAAATTCAACTCCCTTTCCATGCTGTTCTCCTGCCTTTCCTGGCGCTCGAGCACATTAGGCGCCAAACAGTCCTGCTGCAACTGGGATAACCGAGTGGAATCATACCAGCGCCTGAGCATCAGCACACACTTCCCCTTAGACACATGCCACAGCGGCACAAGTCCAAGGTGCAACTCTATCAACACATTCAAAAATAACTTTCCTGGCCCTGATATGAACAACCCCGCTTATCACCACATTCTTGCATCACCTGCCGAGCCATTTCTGCCCCGTGCATCCTGCCCATTCTGCTTGCCCACAACGTCCCCTTGTGGTTGCGCCGATGAGGCAGACGATGACAGGCCAGCATCTGCTGCTCGACCCCACCTGCTCATCGTCCTTCCGCCAGCATAACTGGGCCCCGCTTCTGGGGGCCCCTCCGGTTCAGGCATCAGCGTCGCCGGCAGCGACCCATAGATGTCGCTGGGGGTGCGGGAGTGCCCCTCCCGCGGTGCCTGGAACTGGTGCCCGGCCTGCCGGCCCCTGCCCCGCCCTCCAGGGAAGTACCCGTGAGGCTGCCGTGCACGGTGGTCAGCAGATACACCAAAGGCAGCGCTGGGGCCTGGTGGCTGGTGGGGTAGGTTGGGGCTGGGGCCATGGAACCCCGCAACTGGGGGGTAGTCTGAGATGTTGGGCTCCCTGCCAAGGCAGGCTGGGTTCACAGGGTGCTGGAGCCTGGGGTCTCGAGGCACCCCCCTGTACTGGTTGGGAAACCCTGGTTGGGGGTCCTGCACAACCATAGGGCAAGGGTAGGGGCCGTACTCCTCGCTGTACAAGTCCCCATACATGCTAGGACCGCCAGAGCCCTGATCAGCACATGCCACACGAAAGCACTCGTTACTTTTAAATGCAGGCATCAAAATTTTGCACTGCACCGCACTTGCAGACAACAGCAGAATGGGGAAAGCATGGCTCATATGTTCAGTGCAACTGTCCAGCTGGGAGTTGAAAACATCGCATCGGTTTTATGCTCTGGAATCAAGACACCCTGCAGGCTGCCAAGGTTCAGCAGGATGCTGAACCCTGCTGAACTGTTGAGCCTGATGTTCCAGCATGCTGTGGCTGCCACTGCAAAGGCACAGCGCAGGAAGTAGTGACAATGGCCGGCACTCTTATTCCCATGAATGTTGCTGCTATTGCAGCCAGCCTCCAGGCAAGTCAGCTCGCCAATATATGATACATGAAGGGTAGTATCGGTTGGGTCAGCTGTTGTGACAATAAGCCACAACTGTTCCCAGCTACAAGGATCAACACCACTGTCCCTTGCATCTAGCTACATGAACAACTCATTTGCACAGTTTCGAAATTGTTCATTGAATATCAAGCATAGCATGAACTGCAGGGCACACAATTCTTCCATTGGAGGCAAAAGGCTGAATTGGCACAAAAGAACAGGCAGCAGTCAAGCATATGCCTCAACAAGTTTGGTGCAAAGCATCTGCCTGGCGCGGTGCTGCAAACTAGGTGAGGAAAATCCAACACCCACCCTGTAGTGCGCAGCCATCAGGTTGTCCCCCCAGCTGGGGGCTCTGTCCATTCCCGGCTCGTCTCGACCGTTGCCCAGGGCCGCAGCGGACAGCGTCCGCGTGAGGTTACCAATGGAGGACGCTTCCAGTGCACTGCTGTCCTGGAGGCCCATGTACCTGCAACTCCCATTAACCAATGTCTCGCTTAACCGCTGTTGGGCGCGATCCTCAGCCCACAATGCCTCTTTCTCCTGTTTGCTCATCCTTTTGTATCTACGACAGTCCACAGTACAGAACTTGGAGTCCCCTGTGATTTACCACAGCTTCCCCGTGTGAGCCCCAATTCCCTGGGCATACAAGCAACCCCCATTCTCCTGGTAATTGGTGCATACCAGCGCCAGACCCTACACCCTACACCCATTACTACTGTGCAGGGGTTTGGGCCGAGGCAATCGGCAACTTTGCAACTGGTTTGATTCTGTCTCGTGCATTGCTTCCAGGTCTCGATCCAGGCCACGCTGACAGATATCTGCTCAATGAACCAATGGGTCCAAACCATCATGCATGTGTGCACAGCAGTCAGGCAAGCATGTATCCGAACCTGGCAACCTGCGCAAAAGCACAGTCAGAAAACGGCAAAGCCACTTGGAAAGGAGGCCAACGAGTATATCGGAAAAGACCCACAGGCCCTTGATTTGTCCCACACCTGTTGGCAAGGTTGCCGTCAAAGTGAACATTGTTGGGGTTCAGCCTGTTCGACAGGTTCAGCTGTGGCATCTCGTCGACAGTGTAAGGCGCACCCTCTTCAGCACCATGTTCTTCCGTGTACTGTTCCATCTGCCAAGCCTTTGTTGCATTTGGGCTCATGGACTGCATTCCTGGCCGTCTGCCATCAGGGCCTGCCACAAACATGTGCTCAGCTTCACTATGCCATACGTGCTGTGCAAACGATGCCATGGCAAGTTGGTACAGAGCGGACACACACTGCCGCAGCTCAATGTGGTGAGCAAACAGCCAGCACTTACCTGACTTGATTTTGCTTTAATTACATTCCATGTGCAGCGATTCAAAAATACATACAGCCTTTTAGCTCAATGACTCACCAGTGCAACAAATATAACAATGCAGCCATGTTCAGGCCCCTCACTTCCTGCTGGTGCCAGCAGTCCACAGGCTTATCGCCATATCTTCCACATTGCAGCAGCGCTGACAGAAACACTGGCCTGCCCACTGTTGGCTGGAAGCAGGATAAAAGCAGATGTGAATACAGTGATGTACATGCCGCACAAGGCAAGGAGCACTTGCCATTGGCGAAGCTCCAAATAAGTATCTCCTGCACCTCGTGCAATTCTCACCTACAGCAGGCTCCAACCGATAGCCTCTCCTTGTACCAAGCCGCCCATCCATCTTGAACCACATGGGAGGCCCTGAGCCTTCCTTTTGAAACCGAACCACCAGAGGCTTTGACCCTGATATGGCGGTCACCACCTCACCATCAAGGGCCTCCTTTGCCCTGGCCGCATGTTGGGTCTGTTGGAAGTTGACAAATGCGAATGTCTTGCCAGGGAAGGTGCGTACGCTCTCCACTGGCCCATACCGACTGTACAAGCTGAACAGAACCGTCTTGCTGGGTCTCAGACAGACGTTACCAAGCCAGAGATGCCTGCACAAGGAAACCACAAAATCAATGTTGAAATGGGCTGCTGATGCAAAAAAAAAGCACAAAAGGCATCACAGCAAGGGCAGTTTGGCACATCAGTCAGGGTACCAGCAAGCATCACTCTGTTCATTCCCCAACCAAATCCTCCACAAAGTTGACTGGAATACAGCGATTATGAGTCGCACCCAAAGATACTTTGCAATGAAATCATCGGCCGTCGCCTCCCAAGACATGCTTCCGCATGCTTCCACACCTGTCCTCCAAAGCACAACCCCGTTGTCCCCAGGAATAACACTGTCAATCACTGAACAAGCCCTTTTTGAATCAGACCTGGACGGCCTTCCTTCTGGAATGTTGCCCTCTTCATCTTCTGTGCTGAATGGCTCCTCCACCTCAACGTCGTACTCCTCAAGATCTTCAGGACGCCTGCCATTTTGCTGCCACCGGGCACAGGCCTCCCTGGCGGGTTTGAACCGCATTTTCAGCTGCTTTGCTGCTGTGAGCGTTGGCACTATCACATTGTTCAAAGTGTTGTAGGACTCCACCGCATCAGCCACCTTCTCAAAATTCACAAAAGCATACCCCAGGGGCCCAATGCGAGCCGGAAAGACTGCCACGTCTGTGATGGGCCCAAATTTTGCAAACACTGATCGAATCGAGCTGACATTTGCATTGGGGCTAATGTTCCCCAGCCACACCCTGTTACTGGGTGTTGATGACCCCTCCCACTCAGCGCTACCCCCCTTGTGGAGCGGGGTGCTGCTGTACTCCCCTGTTTCATCCCACGAATGGAAGGAAGGCGCACTGCGCGAGCTGCTGAGGTCTGATCCTACCAAGGAACACCACAACATAAACAATCAGGACGACTCCTGAAGTAACCGCAAGACAAACAGGAGCATAAACTGCAGCACAGGCATGTTCAGTGTTGCACGCATGTGCGGCGCCAGTGCACATCCTTGCTGATATGTCCCTGCAGTTGCACCAAACATGGTTCCAACGAAAACCCAGGGGCTGCAGACGGCGACCGCACTTTGTCCTGGCTACCTGTGCCACAACAGCACCACGCCCAAAAGCCTGTGAGCACCTGCTCAGGAGTGCAGCACACCAAACATTGCATTCATCAAAAGTCACCTGGGAGGGGTCCCACAGGGGCCTGTTGCGGCAAGGCCATCCCATATGGTGGTGCAAATGGAGCCTCCCCTCCTGTGACATCCTCACTCACAGGCCTGCCATCTTCATCTGCCATACCCATCAGCATGTCCCCAACTCTTCCGAGAGCCTTCCGGTTTGGGCGGAACTTGATGACCAGCTTCTTGTTGCCAGTCAACGATGGCACCTCCTTCTGGTCGAGGACCTCTGCTGCCTTGGCGGCGTCTTCAGGCAAGTGGAAGTTGACAAAGGCATACATGCGGCCCGGGAAGGTCACCACGTCCTCCACTGGGCCAAACTCCTCAAACACAGACTTCAGGATGGAGCGCGGCAGGCGTGTGTTCAAGTTGCCAAGCCACAGGTGCTTGCTCGCCACCTTGGTTTCCCCTCGCTCCAGCAGTGTCTCGCCAGGCAGGCTGCCTTGGGGCGCCCACATGCTTGTGTATGCAGATGGTGGGTATACCAAAGCAGGGCCTGTGGGCCTCATAGCAGGGTTTGTGCGCCAAACCTGAAAGCAGCAGAGCGAATCATACGATTGTGCGGCTGGCGCAGTAAGGCAAATGCAAAAGCACAACACACAAAATTCGCATGCTGCATATTTAAACTTCCATGAACATGCTGCAAGAGAAATCAGGACAAAGTTGCAGAGGTTAGGAGGCTCACATTCCCAACAGCAATGCACACCACCCAGCACAGCGCTGCTGTGCATATTATCTCCCCACAACTGAAATTCTACACCATTCCCCTTGATCACAGCTAATACAGCATGCAACCAGCACTGTCCACTTGCGCACATACTACTAGGCACAGGATGCACTTTGACTGCCTGCTTCTGCACATTTGTACACTATTGTTCATCACCAGAGTGTGGCCCTCTCTCTGCCCTGCACACCAGACCTGGCACAACAATGGCTATTCCCAGGATTCTTTCATCTGATCAACAGAACCCACACCCATCCACACCTCTGGATTGTCCTCCATGATGCCCATCTGGTGGTGCCCATGTCCAAGAATGCTCATGTTGGCATCAGGAGATGTTTTTGTCAGCGGGCTGGAGGCGCTGCTGGATATGGTCACAGGCGACGAATGTGGGGCTGGAGACGTCCACCATTCCTGCGGACCCTTCAAGAAGCGCCTGTCATGTTGAGCAAGCTCCCCCTCAGTATGTCCGCCGTGATCCATCTGGGCCCCAGATGTCGCCTCTGGCTCTGCAGGCTTCTCACCCCCATTCTCTGTGAGGATCAGCCCAGCGATGTCGCTGGACAGCCACGACATTATCTGACTGTCGTCCACGATGTCATCCACATCCTGAGCAGGCCGGTCCCCAGCATCTTTCTGGCTGAACTCAGACCCATGAGGCAAACCATCTCCCTGAGCCCCAGAGTCTGCTGGCCGCAGGCGGGTCCACTCTGTGGCCGTACTCTCACTGGCCTCTGCACGTACAGTGCGGTTGTCTAATTGGCACTCCTGGCCACTTTGTGGTGGGCATGGCCCCAGCAATGGCGCTTGTGCCGGAGGGAATGTCTCACCAATGGACAAGCCCCCCTGGTATGCATCTGGTGCCATGGACATCGAGCTAACATCCGGCCAGCGCCCATCAAGTTGCCCCATGCTGCCAACCTGCGGGCCGTGGCCACTGCAAACCAATTGACGATGCGTCCCGATTTCACTGCCTCCCAAGTCTGGCAGTGAGAATGCCCACTGCAGGTGGGAGGCTTCAGGCGCGCTTTCCTGGCTGGGCACACCGCTCCTCAGATGCCCCCAGGGGCCTGTGTGCGGGTCGGTGGCAAGGCCATGGGAAGGGGTGCTGCTTGCCGCTGTTTGCCAGCTTGTGGTTGTGCTTTCAAACCTGTTGGTCTCGGCTTGCTGCACCTGGCTCCATGCTGCAGCCCTTCCACCCTCTGGTGGCCTTGTGGTGGAGGGCTGAAGGGATTGGGTTTCAGCATGGCCGCTCTGAGGCAGCTGCGGACTCGAACAGGCCAGCAGCTGTGGCTGTGATCTTGATGTCTGGGGCTGGGAGCTGTCTTGAGCTGGCTTACCAGCAGGGACTGGCGCAGACTGCCAAGCCTTGTGCTGCTTGGGCTCGCGAGGTGAACAAATAGGCTTGTGTGCCTGGGCAGCGGGGGTGCTGAAGGCGCTTGCAGGGGGAGCCCTGCTTGGTGCTGGTGCTGGTGGGGGGGGTGCCTCTGAGACAGGGAGTGGCTTGGACGCCTGCCAAAAGGATGCCACGCAGCCCATTCAGCTCTTTGAGTCATGCAGCAAAACTTCAGCAGCACATGTCGATGCTGAATACCCAAAGAATATAACCGACCTTGTGGAAAATATCCGCATACGTCAGAAAGCCTTCCTAAGAGGATTTGCAGTAAACAGCAGCTCAACACATAATCCGTAACACTGGTGCATCACCATCTGCATCCTGGGAGGGCACAAGATGTATGGTAACACAGTGATGTCACACGCTCCACAGGCGCTGTCCCAACCACAGTATGGTGCTGCCATTCCAACGAACCTCAACTCACCTGTTTCTGCACGTTGGCACTCGTGCCAGCGTCCTTGCTAGGTAACCCTTCCTTCTTCAATTTATGCTGCGAGGATCTCTTCTGTACAGATGGAGGGCCCTGAGACGCAGTTTGTCCAGGCCCTCTGGTCTTACTACGAGGGGACGGCTGAGGCTGCTTTGTGTTCACGCCAATTTTTGATGGCATAGCGCCTTTCTGGGGTTCAGGCTCTGCAGTCTTCTGGGAATGACCCATCTTCTGTGATTTATTGTCCTGCCAGGGTGTCAACTTGGGGTCCTCGGCAAATTTATTTCCGTTTGCAAGGGGCTTCTGCTTCTTTGGTGAAGCACAAACCTGGAGCAAGGGGCAAGACAGGAACAGCGCATTGTTAGCAGGTGCAATTTGAACTGTCAGCTGAAACTGTTAGTCTCAGAATTTGCTCGTTGCTGACTGGAACCCAGGCGTAGCGTGCTGACTACCTTTGTCATTTAATCACACAGGTTTGTTTCATTGCACTGCAACATGCAGGCATGTTGCCGCACGAGTATGCCTCCAAGGAGCACTGGTGAGCTGCCAGGGACACAATTTGGCAGAAGTGACTGTGCTTGCCTTCAAAGCCATCAGCCGTGCAAAAAGAAATAATAAATGTGTCGAATGTGAGACCTGGCTTTGTGGGACGCCAGGGAGCTCGTACTGTTGAGAAGATATAAAGCAACACCATGAAAGGTTCAGCAATAAGCACACTTCAGATCCAAATATCACACAGTATCGGTGCTGAGCATGCCATTAGCTGACAAGGACCAATATCACTGCAACAGTAATAGCTGAGAGTTCTGTGCAGAGTTTCGAGCTTTCTCAAGAGAGTAATGTTCAGTTTGTTCACAGAATGCCAACTGGACACAAGCCATCAAGCAACCGCAAATTTCCAAACCAAACTCCAGGAAAATAACAAGCAGCACAGTGTGCAAGCACTTGAGCGACTCTGCAGTCACCATGGCAATCAATCCTCCAATGGCACACCTGGGGCCCTTGCTGTTTCTCTTGACGTGCCTCCTGCAAGCTGGCTTCCTGCGCTGCCTGCAGCATCTTCTTTTCCTGCTCCTCTAATTGTCGTCTTCTCGCCTCTAGGGCTCTTTCGTACTCTTCCTCCTGCTGTCTACGCCTGCACTCCGCCTCCTTTCTGGTGCGTTCCTCCTCCGCCCTCTTCTCCTCTGCGCGTTTCTCTTGCACTGACACTTTTGGCCTTTTCTCCTCCTTTCGCTCCTCCTGCACCTCTGCTGGTCCTGCAACCAACCGTGACGAATTCCTTTCATAACATTTGGCATAACAGTGGGTTGAGAAGTTTTGGGGGACCACAGCTGAGGAGCAGGATGTACACTAAACGATTCCATATGATGCTCTCATGAGCCAAACTACTAGTGCAACCCCGACTTGGTTCAGACGAGTTTATGTATCACAAAGTCAGCAAAAGGATCGGGGCCCATTTCTAATTAACACACTTCTACACCACTTCTGCACCATATGCACCAAAGGCATCATTCACTCCAGAGAACTTGCGCCTCCCTTGTATTGGAAATGCCTTTCTTCAGCTCTACCAGTTGCTGCTTTTTGGATTGACTCCGTGCTTTTGCAATGCGCCGAGCTCTTGCCATGTCCATTGTCTGTCTACATCGCAGTGAGCACAGACAACACGGACAGTAAACACACACCAGGCATACCGTGTTCTAGTTCCCAGTGTCCAGATGTAACCTACCAGAAGGAGCTGGCAGCCCCTTCTTCTTGTTTCTTTGCTTCTTCAAATGGGCCTGCTGCTGCTGGGTATGTAGCTTGTCTTTCTTTCCCCCTTCACGCTCCAGCTCCTGCAGCAAGGCGTCCTGGGCAGCTTTTGCAGCTGCCTCTGTGGCCTTCTCCAGCACTAAGACGCACTCCAGGACCTTGCTGTTGCGCGCAAGCTGCAGGGCATTCGCTCCGTACTTGGTGCGTTTCAGAAAGTCCAGGTTGTCTCCAGCCTCTCTAATGTACACGTCCAGGCATTCGCTCAAGCCGGCTTCAGCTAGTCTGCAAGGAACAACACCACGATGTTGGAAATGGAAGGCTATAGTATCGAACACAATTTCACATTGCTGATATTGCTCTATTCAAGAGCGGCTGAGTCCATATTCACTGTGTCCCATACACAGTCAGCCATCCCAAACATACTTCATTGGAATACAGACAGTATAAACACCATGGCTGTACTGCGAATGCATCCTACACATATCATACCAAGCCCTGTGATGTGATGCATCGAGATAATCTCTTCTTAAGAAACAAGAATACCATATAGCAGGAACACCTGATATGCACAAGTCTGCGCAGCTCTGATGCTGCAGTAGGGTGTTCTAAAGCCTGCAAGTTGGTAAATGGCCCCACAGTCAAGTGATTGCCAGGACAACAACCTCCCATAACACACCCTTTACTCACCTGTGTAATATCGTGAAGCCGTCCTTGTCTGTTGAGTTCAAAGCATCGTCACCACAATACAATAAGCACACAGCTGCACCTTCCACTGACACCAGCACGTCGCGGCCCTGCACAGCGTCCAAGCACATTCAACATCGTGCCATCACAACTGCAGCTAACCTTCCAAAACCAAGGCCCATACCAACCACAGAACGCGCATCAAGAACTTCGTGCACTCACTATTTCCTGTCTTTCTGCCACACACACATTTTCAGCGTGCAATCGCCATTCTTGACAACAGTGTTCCTTCATGATTTCTTTCAACTTCCATCAAGAGGGTATTGTTGTCAAAAGGAACAAGCCTATGTCCAGTCACCTTCGATGGGCTATGTGTAACACATTCTACACATTTTGAGCGCGCACGAAACCCAACAGCCCACATCACAACCCACATCACATGTCTTGCATTTTGTGCATATCAACCAGAAAAAAATTGTGCTTTGGCATCATCAGCATCTCAACTACTGTCATCCCCGGAGTCCAAAAGATTCACTAGAAGTACCAAGAGTGGAGTGATACCAGGGGTGCACACCCAGCTCAAAGCCTCAGTTGCTATTTCGTACCTTGGTGGGCTCGTGGAGGAAGCAGCAGTGACACGCATATCTGCAGCAGCTGACCTCCACCACCGGGTCATCCTCAACAAACTCGAAGGAGATCTTCTCACCCCCCTCGCAGATGTATCTTACGATATAGGCAATCGCACCATGGATGTCCTGCAAGTACATGGACAAGGGGGCCGCAGGCTTGGGCTTTGATGCCCTGTTGTCCCCCTCGTCAGCCAAGTCGAGAAGCTTGCCCATCACAGTCAACCCAAAGGCCTGGCAAACAGCAGCAATCAGAGGTCAGGATAGGCACAGCTCGCAAAACAGCAGTAGTCCGCATCAGCAATGGCCGCATTCACCCATCACAGGGATCTCACCATTACTACCCTGTTGCCCTCTTACATCGTGAGCCTTGTTTGTGCAGATAGCTGGCACCCTACTCACAGGCATTACCAGTTGTCTTGCCAATGGCAAGACCCTTTCTGAAGGAAACTCTTGAAACAAAGCTGCACATGCACATGCAGTTCCCTGGTGTTGCAGTTGTCCAAGAATGCCATCGCTTTCACCAGCTTGCTTACTTGCTGGTGCTGAGGGGCTGTCCAGCAGTAAGAATGGCACTGATAAGGTCAATGAACACTCAACATGGACAAGAAGCATATGGATGAGCAGGTGACTTGCAGCGACTGAGCAGGCAAGAAGCTTGACGCGATTGCATGGGCTAGTGTCACGCTTGCAACCACCTGTATGCAGAGCACATCCTTTGTTGTGGACTCCCTCAACTTGCGTGAGCTGCGCATGGCCTTGAAGATGCTATCTGCAGCATCGGCAAAGTTGATGTCCACAGCCAGGCACTGAGGGTTGCTCAGCAATGCGTAGAGCGTGCGCAATGCAACAGCCTGGCACACATGCAAACAATGCACAGTGAGTGCCACCCACAATGAAGTTGTGACTATATTATTTGCTGCACACAGCAATCGGCACAATGCAGAGGTGTCCACATCTGCCAGTTGGGTAGAAATTGATGCAACATTGTGTGTGTAGTAGATTGATGTACCGCCGAATAGTACTGCAGCAGTGCCTGTGTATCAGCGCTCCACCAACGTTCACACACATTTCAATGCTTGTAAATATTGATACGTGGGCACTTGCTGAAGCACTGTTTGGCAGTGCATCAGCGGCGACATTGTGGCAACATCATTGACCCAAAATCCACCGTTTGTCCAGATGCAGTGCTGCTTGGGCCAATAGTGCACCCAATGACAGTGGTGTTGAGATGTGTTGGCACATCCAGGCCGAACCTTTTGTGCCTGTTAGTCCACAGCACAAGATGAAAGAACAAATGAAAACATGCTGCAGCTCACTCAAGCTTCAAGAAACAAACAATGACTTCTGACACTGCCACCAGCATTCTCTGCTTCCTGAGGAGCGAATTGCCAGAGCCAACTGCCTACATGACAGCTGGACACTTCAGATTAATATCTGCACTACAATAGCCAGAACTTCTGTGTATTCTGGAACACAGCTTCCAGGTAGTCTTTGAATCTTGTGCAAGACATCAGCTATGTGAACGCAAGTCAAAAACGATGTAGCCAACAACAAGTAGTACACAGCTGGTATATGCAAGCAGGCAGCAAGTGGCTGCTGTAATAGGGAGTGCTTGGCAACGGGGCTAGTCCTTGCACACAGTTGACTAGACAGCATGTGGGACATTGCACAAAAATGCAGAGCACATTCATAGTGTGTAAATGCCATACAGTATGGAACCCAACTGTCACCTGCATCCGACTATCTTGGGCCGCGATGAACACTTGGTGAACAGTCAAGGCAGCCACAGAGAGTGCTGACAAGCCGTCAAGGTTGGGTCCGACGCCCCTGAATCCACCATCATCTCCTCCAACAACAGCAATGAAGTCCAAACAGTGTTTTACAAGTGGATCATCCTGTCATTTCAGCACAAAAGCAGTATGTAACACTTGACCACACTGCTGCACATGTCATGAATCACAGAGGCAATAATCCTGTTCACCATTCTTGGTGTCATTACAACACTAGATGTCCAGTGCAGTATGTCACTGTGGCTTCATGCACACCACCTTTCAGGTAAATGACAAAAAGCCAGCAGCAATTCACTGATCCCCGACCAAATCAAAATACAGTGTTTGTCTTGCAGGAGAACTGGCAGCACTGCTTTCAGGTGCCTATGGCACGGCAGACTGCGATCATTTCGGCGTAGCAATCTACAGCTCCTGCGTCTGCAAACAGTACAATTCACACCTGGCATGCCATACCATGATGGGAAATCCCGATTCACTGGTAACTGGTATCATGTCGAGAATACTGGGGCCAAATGGAGTATATGGGGCTCGATCCTCACTTCCAGCTTTTCGCCAGTGGAAATGTGAGGGTCAGACGGCATGACCACGCAAGGACACCAGGGCAACCAGCCTTTGCCTCCCCGAAGGGTGGAAATTGTGCAAATTGTGTTTTGATCAGCCACAAATTGCAACATGCAACACTTGCACAATGTGAAAAATAGTGTAACTGACGTACGGTAATGTCATGCGACAAATCAACATAGACGTTTTCTGAAAGATCCTCTCAAGCCTCCACACACAGAATGGTAGCTTGCAGCAATACTGTGCAACTATCCATCAGTGTGCCTGTTTTGCCTATTTTCCTGACTTGTGTCCAACTTTCACTCCCAATGGCATCCAGTCAGCAATCCGAGCAACATCTTGCATATGGCTGTGCCGTCTACTTGCACCAATCGCATGCATGCCCACATGCCTCACAGCACTGCTTCAATCCTACTGCCATTCTACTGCAGTTTCTACTGACCACTGAGTGTCTTCATGAATCCGCACTGCCAAGACATCTTTCTCCCGGCATATTTCAGTGCCAAACTCGTAAGCAGTAAAGCCTTGTTACTGTTGCACTTGGGTGACAGGCGACTGTTACACCCTGACCACTGTTTCAGCAGGAAGGGCAGGAGCACCACCAAGTTGACGAAGGGTATCCCCTTGTGATGACCCTTGTTTGAACCTTGCCAACCATGTGGTACATTGGGTTGACACACTGGTAGATTGTCGGTACGGTGCGGGGCATGGCAAGCTGCAACAGCACGCTGTCACTCCAGCAACTGTGTGGAATTAAATGTGCCCCACTGCGGGCATCAAGACAAGAATATATGAGCGATGCAGCTTCTTTGCACCGAAAGGTTATACCACGATCCAGATGCCCAGTTGATGGATATTACAGCGAAGTTCCCATATTGGGGAACTCTGCTGGCTGGCTGACACACCAGTTGGGATTCTTGGGATAGGCACACCTTTAGTTGACAGCTCTGCATCATGTCCACGATCATGTGCAATGCTTGGCCTTGCATGATGGGCCACACTTGCCAGAGGCCCGCCATCCAGCTGCCCTCTTGTTGCTGGTGATTACGAGGATGCAGTGCGCTGCTAGCTATCCTTGTCAGCGACCAAACTGCGGCCCTGGCTACTTCAATGAATCTGACACACACACACACACACACACACACACATCACTTCAGCATCACTGGACTCGTCTTGATATCCTTTGGGCACTTTATCGTTTGACAGGGGGATTTCTATCCACTCAGCTTGCCACGTTTCCTGGAGGCAAAGCCCCCAGGTTGCTGACAAGCCTTTGGTGCTCGAATAGCCTGAGCATATCGAAAGGCCTGGGACACCTAAACTGCTGATCAGCTGCGCCTCCAGTGAACCACGAAGACCACAGACCAACCAGCACAACACATGCTACACAAACCCCAATCCTAGGGGCGCCACCAAGGCACTTACTTTTCCTGCATCTGCAGTCGTGCCACATTTGACACTGTGACTACGCAGTCAATAACCTCCTGGTCAGAGGCATCATGGCGGCATGCCAGTTCAGCCAGCAGCATGCACCCGTGTTCTTGGACTGTAAGTTCGTTTCCAGCGTCTTCAATGCCTGGCAAATGCAGCAACAAGCATTGCCGTCATCGTAGGCACAAACTCTATAATCATCACCCCAAGACCCACAAATAACTGCCAGAGGCGACTGCGCTGCATGGCAATATTGGCAAAAATGGTCTGCCGCATTTTGGTTCATGTACAGCTCGCAATGTGGCGAATCTGCAAGCATCACAGGACCTTCTCAATACAGGCGATGGCAATACATCGTCGCATTTTAGGACAATTGCCAGTCACAGCATGGTCTGATACATGAAATCGAAAACCACCCATTGGCTTGAAGACCACCAACCACCCACTCACATAGCCTAATAATATTCAGGCCCTGATTGGATGCCAATCGGGCCACATTGTTCTTGTTCATGAGGCAAATGTAGTGCAGTGCCTGCACAGCATCTGCTATGGACCTCCTGCACGCATGGGCTGCCATTTCCTGCAACCTCAAAATCGCTGTCAACAGCGCTTCAACAGAGCCCCTGCCGCCCAAAACGTCTTGCGTGGCCCTGTCAAGATACACACACTTCGATTGGTGTTGCGTCCATCCTCTGATTCGGTTCGTCAAAAAGCAGCAAAGCATTTCCCTGGCACATTTGGCACTGCGATTGATGCACTTCTGGAGGCATGTTTCATTCTGGGCTGCCTTTTCATTTCGACTCACTAAAATTCCATGGTGCTGTTGTGCAGAAGTGCAACAACACAGAATAGTGTCAGGCCATTGTGTGAAATTGGGTGGATCACCGTGGCTGCCACATCCAAAAGCACTGCCCATTGCTACAGGAAGCTCAAGCTGTGAAGTCTTTGCACAGAAGTGGTACAGGTAAAGTGTTGCAAGTGAGAAGTGTGAGAAGTGTTGTCAAGGCAGGTCAAGGCAGGCCAAGGCTGGCATGCAACTGCCATGACGGGCGCTGTTCCTACAAGAGGGACTTTGGTCACAAGGTCTGTATCAATGGCCTTACCACTACAAAATTGACAACTGCAAAATGGCTGTAGTTCAAGTCTGAAACCTGCAATCACCATAAGAGACCAGCACTAAGGTACTGTGGCATCGTACAGTGCATTTGATGGATCGTACACATCTCACATGGCTTAACAACAATCTGTGTCCGTCACACTCTTAGGTCGGCAGGCTTCGACCCGCTTTTAACTGAGGCTGAGGAGTGGTCACCTGTCATAGAAGCTCCGGCATGTGAGACAACCGCTGAGACTCAGCAGGGCTCTTATTGCAGCTGTTTGCACATTGAGGTCCTGCGGGTACTGCTGAAGGGCCTCTACAACACTCTCTGGTGCGTCTTCTTGAAGTTCAAACTGCGAATTCGACACCAGAGCACCCTCTCAGAACAGATAGCATGCCTTCATATGGTGGTTTTGGCAAAGCCGCTGTGCTGTGGATGGAAACTGCTTTTGAAGTTTGGACACTTGCATATTCACCAGCACATGCATGTGAAAACTCGGAGACAGCCCCTGCGATAACTGTCCCCCCCCGCCCCCCTCTCGACACCGCACAATCTTTTCACAGCATGGAAAAGGGACTCACATGCACACGCCTGGGAAAGGGTGGCCTTTGCACGACCTGTTTCTCTTTCTCCCTGTTCCCTCAACATATCAGGAAAGAAGCAAACGAAAGCGCTTCCGTGTCACGCGCTCAGAGCCCGTTTTGGACACCAACACGCTGCGCCTCCCACACCACACCACCTGGGAGTGCCCTCTCTAGCTTCACGTGCGACCCAGATTCGACAGCCCGTTGGAACGACAAACGCCCCGGCGAATCGCGCACGGCCACGCGCTCGCGCACCTCCCATTCTCCTTCCATGCAGGACTTGCAGTTCTGGCCCAGGACCTCCACGAGCTGGCACGCCCGCGTCTTCACCTGCGTCGCCGCACAGACCATCCGGTGACCATCCGGGTCGATCACCCTCGTCACCCCGCCCGCCCCCCAAGCGACAGCGCACGCGCGCCGCAGTTCCCCCGCGCGGCCCCATCTTCCCCATCCCAGAAATCGTCCACATCCAAGGCGAGGTCAGACTCCGCAGCGCGCCTCGACCGTCATTCCTCGCCCCGCGAGCGCCCGCAACTCCGCAAGCGCCTGAACGGCGATTTAGCTCGTCGAGACCCCCACCGTACGCGCCCCGCGGCCCCGCGGCCAAGCCCCGGCGCTCCTCCGGGACCCGCCATCGCAGCGTCCCACGTGACAGCCATCCGACCGCCCCTCCCTCCCCCCCGCGGGGGGGCAACGCGGGGCCCAATCCATCCCGTCACAGCAAGAAGCAAAAAGGCGTTCCCCGAGGCGCCGCGTCCAGCCGGCGCAGCGACCGTCCGGGCGTCCCCTTTCGGCTGTGGCGGGGATTGCGGGAAGTTAACGGGTGCCTGGGATCCACTTGCACTTTCACACAGGAGGACATTCATTGTAGCTGTATCAGCCTGGTGCTCTCTCTCAGGCCGCCCAGGTGCTGTAGGATTCCATCCTCTTGCTCTCCTGCCTGCTGACTGCCTCCTCAAGCTGGGTTTCCCTGCTCGCCCTCCCAGCCCAGCCCCGCGCTCGGCCCCCGCACCAACCCGCGGCACAATCCCACTCACTCCCCCTTCCCGCATGCCGTTCGATTTCATTCCCGCCGTCGGCTGGCCCACGGCGCTGCAAAGCGGAAAAGGGCCCGTCTCATTCTCGCCCATACGGGGGCGCTCCTTCGTCCGCCCTGGTTTCTTGGGCTCGCGACAACTCGCCATGCGCGCCCGCGCCCACGCGCACGCGCAAGCGCTCTTCGCCGCCCACCTCCGGGCTCGGGCTGGACGCAAGTGCGGCGGCCGCGCCTGCCCACAGCCGCCGCACCGCATCCTCCGGCCAGCTCTTCCGCCCCTGCTCCGAGTACTGACCGCGAAGCAGCTGCAGCAGGCTGCAACATCGCGCGACGTCCCCGGCGGTCGTCGCCTCGCCCAGCGACTGCAGCGCCAGCTCGCGGCCCTCCTGCGTGCCCGCCTCCGCTGCCCCCTGCCCGCCCTGGCCGCACATGCCCGCGTCATCCCCTCCCCCCTCTCCCCCCTTGGCGCCGTGGCCCCTGGATGTGTTCTGTTCGACGGCCCTGTGGGATCCCGCGTCCCCGGGGCGCCGATCGGCGCCCGGCGCCCGCTCGCCCATGGGCCCGCTGGCCCGGGGGGCCGCCCCGGGGGGTGCGTGTCTCCGAGCGCCCGGTGCGCGCGCGCCGCGGGCGGAGTCCTGGGAACGCTGGTGCGCCCACGACGCTGTCAGCTGCCCCGTTTGACTCGGCCGGAATTGACGTGCCGTTTAATGCGAGGAGAATCCGGTCGAACGCACGGGGGGCATCCCAGCCGGCTGACGCACACGCAGACCCCGGCAGTTGGCTGGGCGCCGGGAGCTGGCCGTGCGCAAACCCCCAACCTATCCGATTGCGTTTATCCTGACTGCGCTCTGACGGGTGCTTAGTCATCGGTAATTTCGCTGAATCGTTGTATTTCGTCGGTAATTTCCGTGCGGCCGGGGCCGGTTTTGAGGATTCGACCCCGCGGGGCGATCCGACGCGTCGCATGGGGACGCGTCCATGAGAATGTTGGCGCGACGCTTTTGGGCCCGCGGTGTTCCGACGCGGCGGGGCATCGGCGGCGAATATTCTGCGAAGGGGAGGCGCGGGCGGCAACGGGGTGTTTCGCCGTCACCATGCGACCGACGGGAGTCCTGCGCTCTGGGGCCGCGCCCCTTGCTGGAGTCTGGAGTCTGGCTCCGGCCAAATTCTCGCAGCCAGCAGCCGAGGGGCTGTCTTGTCGTACATTGGACGCCCCTGTGCCCGGCATGAAAATTCGCCGGGCGCTTTCCTTCGGCACCGCGCTTCGTCGTCGTTGGTCTGCTTAGCTTCAAATGACGCTGGGGTGGGGACAAGGGAGGGGCAGCTGTGACGCTGAGGACTCTTCTGCCACAAGAGTCGGTGTGAGCTAAGGAGAGGCCCTCACCACCGCTGAACAGCGGCAAACAAGTCATGGATTCGAACATCCTCGAGCACGTCGAGCACGCCTTTCAGTCGCCTGCAAGGCCTCCGAAATATCTCAATTGACAGCCTCCACCGCCAACCATCGCTTCAAATATCCTAGCCCCGGCACTCCATAGTCGTCGCAGCGCTGATGGTTTGCCTTTCTTGAAGACTTTTTGGCCTTTCAAATAACGCCCCGACACCTGTGTTGAAATATTACGCTACAACATTAGTCAATCCCGGCATGAGCATCAGGGTCGACGCTCAGAAGTGGATGGGTGGGCGAGATTTGTTATGCATACACTGAAAGGAAACAAGTCCCATAGTGAGGAAACTGATGGCAAGCTCAGACAAAACCCCACCCCAGCCCACCACCACTTTCTCTTCTTGCTTGCGCTGCTTGTGTTGTGTGCTTCTCTTCTTGCACAGGAGACTTTGCATCATCTTTTCCCAAAGTGGAAAGTTCCACACACAGTTGTTTAGGAGGGGTTGCCCCTTGTATGACCAGGTTCTGTTGCTTTTGGTTTGTAGCAAATCTTAATCGCCCTCCCCCCCCCGATCTGGGCTCGAATGCTTGTGCCGATGCCCACATCAGCGAGCAAATTGCCAAAAATGGGACACAACATTTGAGCTCGGGACAGTGAGCGTTGGGCAATTGTCTGGAAGGCCAAAAAAAGGCAAGCAGCCAGCGTTGCAGCAGTGATCGAGGGCTCAAAAATGGGATGCTTGAAGAGATGTCTGGTGGTAAAGAGACTACCCAATTAGATATTTGGGAGACTCAATGGCGATTGAATACTTGAACTAGGTCCCTGAACGGCACGTGACATTTTTCGCTGCTTATCAGCTCCGATTTGGGACACTTTTCAGCTTGCGCCAACTTTGCCGCAATTTCTTAATTCCTTGGAGCCCACCCTCCACACCCCTACCAGCGCCAATTCGCCGCTGAGGGTAACAAATCGACACAACGCGTTTCCTAACAGTGACAGTACTGCGCAACTACGCACATGTGGGTTGACACGGGAAACTACGAGCATAATATGGCTGTTTCAAGTGTACTGTGCGCCTCCTCCTCGAGCCCCACAATCCTGGGTGCACTGGTGGGCGACGATAACTTGAAACGTGCGGAGTAGCATGCTTTAGGTACCTACAAATGGAAGTGTATTCCCACCTTGTTTCGCTCTTTCGTCCAAGAGCCTGCATCGGGATAGCATATGGCATTTCCTTAATGACAGCAACCCTGTGGAGCGTGGAACGCGCCCCGTGTTCCTTTGGTGACATCACCATCGATGGTACAACGTATATAAATATACGAAAACCGATAGTATAAATATTCGCAAATTTGCGAATACTAGAAATCATGCCCGCATGCCATGCGGTGTTCGCGGATTTGCCGCGCTGACACGATGATGGCTGTTCTTTCAGTTGTACCTGCAGTGCGAAATTCGCAACGAGTGTGGAAATGTTCTATCAGTCAATGTGCAGCTAGGACAACTGTGTTTAGATCACAGACATACTCCAGCGGGAATTCCATGAGGGAGAACTGCCGGAGGAGCTGAATACCCAAACGTTCTGCAAGTTTGCCACGCGAAGTTGGCTGCCACACGCACCAATGATCACCACGATCGCGATGCCTTTCAGCAATCGTGCACACTGATTTCATCGCCAACATCTTGTTGATGCACGTGGTACACAGAATATTGGCTTATTTTCATGGTCCATATGATGCATGGGTGAGCACACAAATTGCTCAAATTTTGGACTGCACAGACATTGGACACCATCTTCGACACCAGGGGTCCCCAGGGCGCCAAGCATGTCAGATCTCAGGGGCTGGATTCGATGCCAGGCTTTGGCTCCTTCATGTCGTGCAGCTGGCCCGTCATCGCCTGTCGAGCGCAAAGACTGAGCTGTGTCTCTTGATGGCATAAGTAATCAAGAAATTCGCTGTTGCCGCGCGACCCCCAGCGAAGCGGCAACTGCCCCTCTTCATGCTGACTAGCCGATGCCCAGCGCGGAATTCATGCACACATTCGTGTCGACTAATAATGGCCCCGAAAATCCGATTTTTGGCGAAAGCACCACTCTTGCGGAATTCGCGGTTCCCACTGACGCCCGTCGCAGCGGAGGAACATCGCATGCCGGCGCTGTGAACACATTTGCGGATACCGTATGTACGGGTACGGTATATAAATATACCGTATATGCGGATACCTGGCAGTATTCCCCATCGCCGATCGGCCCACACAGACTTGCAGGCACTGAGCGGGGCAAGCGCACGGCACCTGTGGATGACGCGGCTCAAACACGTGCTCAGCTACTGCATTGGCCGTGCGGATGCTGGAATAGGAGCTTCTCCTTCTTGCAGCTTCAATGCAATCTGCAGCTTCGACGGGCGAACACTCGACAGATAACTTTGGCCCAACAAATCTTTTTTTCCGTGGAAGGTATGGCCAGTCAGGCATTTATTCGACTTTGCCAGACTTGGAATAAATGGCGCAATTCCTTGGACAGTCGGATAGCCGTTTCCTCCTAGTGCCATTTTTGATAATATGTCGCAAAGCCGCAGGTTGTCAACCCCAAGGCGAAGATGCTATCACATGAAGTGTGCAAATTGTACACCCAATCGGAATTCCCGGACTTGCTTATTTTCGCTCAAGCAATCACTCAACATACAGCCTGAGCGTCTTCCAAAACACAGCACACACACGGACTCCATGTCAAGGCCGCATGAGGCTGGCCTCATGAATCCCAGCTCATATTTACGCGATAGCCGGTGTGGCCGCACCCCACGGCAGTGCGCTCTCTGATATTTCGATCTGGGGGTTAGTGAAGCCAACGATATGATGTCAGCCGCCAAGTGCCGCGTTCCGCTCATGTGCAACTGCGCATCTGAACGCCATGGCGCGAGGGCGGCTGGCAAACAGGTCTTCTGTTGTAGACATCCCGCAGGAACGCCTAGTAGTCAGTTCCTGCTGCAATTAATGGCGGGCAGTGATGCTCTTCAGGTTCACCCGCTGAAGGCCTCCAGCAATTGGCATTCTTCCTTGCTGCGATGGCGGTGCGCCTCTTGGACGGCTTGTGACACAAGCTGCTCCGGTATTCCTCGCGTGGTCGCCAAGATGCGAGCAAAAAGGGTGCTGAACAGGGGCACCACGTGCTTCCCGCTGGCCGAAGATACCTGCAATCAAATTTCCATGTCGCTTTGGTGAATCTCCAGAAAATCGACGATAATTTCATTCCTTGTCATCAGCATGCTTCTCTGCATTTATTGCTCTAAATTTCGCTTTCTGATTCCCATATAAAGTCATACTGCAATTTTCTTTGATTAGAAATCCTGTTGCAGTTACTCATGGCAATATTTTTCTGTAGTTATTTTGCTTTTTCATAGCATTCAAGCTGCGAATGTCAATAATAGTGTATCTATTGACAAAAATGCCTCATATCCAGGTGACGGTGCGCGGAACAACAGCTACTGACCAGCGATTGTTTGGATGTTTGAAACACAATGTTTCTGCGCTCGCCATCGACGTTGAGGCGCAATGATTGCTTTAAATGTCGTCTTGGCAAATTCAACCCGACTGAAACACGCCTGGATCCGTGCCAAGTTTGAGTCTACCAGTGCGTTCGTGCGAAACAACAGCAGCAAATTATAGCTCTCTTCAAATTATTCCGCATTCAAAGCACTACTTCTAATTAGAGGTTCTACTTATAAGTAATATGATAGGAGATTCTTTGTCAAGGACATGCCAAACCTACCGACTCTTGCAAGGATACTTTTGTCATTACAGAACAGCCCAGGAGGAAGACACTTAAATCAACGACGTGCATGCTCGCAGGAGTGAGCGCTTGTTTCCAGGTCCACATTCTCTTGTGGACAAAGATCCCAATGTACGTGCATTTTGCAGAATCGCCAGCATATTCTTGATGCCTCAGTGCATGTCATCTAGCGTATAGAAATTGCACGGCCAAAGGTGCCTAATGTCACGAGAATGTGAAGCTTACCAAGATGCGGCGTGTGGCGACATGGTGGCCATGAAGCCTATCTTATGCTTACACAATTTTGAACCATTCATTGCATGCAGAGGAGCAGTTAGAAGCGTCTGCCTCAGGAGAGCACCGGACCCTGAGCGTTTGGCGTGCTTGTTCACCTCGAAAA